CAATAAATATATAAAACACGCTTATTCATGATGCAATTGACGTTCATATCGCTCGCACGCGTGAGGGTCATATTTTTATCGCATGCATGCAGTCTCACGCGTGCGAGCAATATGAGTCTCCAATGATGACGCATCTGTTTAGTGATAAGAGCTCACGCGTGCGACTTCATCCGCACTGCGTGCGCGCACAGTGAGGTTATTTGTGCAAGCATTTTGTTATCTGGGATATGCGCTTTATATACTTTTCACATTCTCTGTATATACATAGAATATACAATATACATATATGTATATACATAGGACGTACATAGAATGTTTTAATGTTTATTGGGAAGTTTCATGTGATATTAAATACCCTTTAATTTGTTGACCTGTGTTATTATCGCCTCTTTTTATTGTATTGAAAGAAGTTAGTGGAACATTTGGTCTCAGAGTACAAGAAACAATGTTTAAGGCACCTAATATTTTTGTTACGGTTTCGAAATCCGGGAAATTAACAGCGCATTATTTTAAAATTTGAGACGTATTTTTTCTAAACGTAGGTCCAAAATCTGTTTACTATTAGATTCGTGGACTGGTCATTGTCTAAATATTATTCAAGAATTTAAACCAGAATCTACAGAAGATATCATTTTGTTGACTATACCAGCTGGAACAACAGGAAAAATACAACCATTAGATGTATATGGTTTTCGTTTGTGGAAGAATTTCATTAAACACTTTTCTGATACTGTAACGCTTTTAGATTTGGAAGTCAATTTGCATGCAAGAAACACCATCTTAAAATTACAGTCATTGATACATAATCAATTTCCGTCGCCAAAATTCAGAAATTTATTGAAATACGCATGGTATAAAAGCGGGTACGTAATAAATAAGCCCGAAAAATTCGAAACACCTAACCAGTGAAATTTTGTTTCCATAAACAGTCAAAACCAACATGCGATATTTGTGGCGCACCTGCAATAATTACTTGCGCATGGTGCAAGAAATCGCTTTGTATGAATCACTTTTTTCACGAACATCACCTTTGTGATACGTTTGTTCCATAAATTCATCTATTTTTAATATATGTTAATATATGTATTATATTCAATATATGTATAATAGTATGTTATTGTTGAAGGTAAAGTTGTAATTCTTTCGACATATATGCATATTATTATAAAGGAAATAAAAAAATAAACAAACAAATGTTTCTAGTATTGATTAATAGAAGAACCTGAAATTAATTGAAATTCTTTGCATTAACATTGAAAAACAATAAATTGCATTTTAATTGTAAGATTTTTATTTATTTATTTCTCTTTCGATATAATATAACTATAAAAGTGTAAAATAGAGGGGATGCCTTGGCAATAACTTTAGTAAATTTTGTTCTTTGATCAGAACATTTTTCCGAATACTTCATAACACGCTAATCTTTATTTTTAATTTTATTCGTCTTATCAATTACATAAGCGCGCAACAAACGATGCGTTATACAGCGCGACGCATATACTGCGACATTGACAGCTCATTTCTGAAAGATGCGATTTCGAAACATAATAAAATCATATATGGTTGCATTGAGCGTAAAAAATGCTACAACTTTTGTTATAACAAAAATTTTGAAATTCGTAAATTAATAAGAAGGGGTAAGGGTAAATTAAAAAATATAAAATTTTTTAAATATTTAGCTACGCGTTATAAAGCTCATAAAAGACCATGCAACTTTTATTCGAAACATTTTTTGATATTTCTTACAGTTTTGACGATATTCAGTCAAAACCAAAAAAACCGTTTTAGCTTGTAGGGGTTGTTCAATCCTAAACATGCGAGAAAGCAGATAAAAAAATACGTGTCTCTTATTTTGAGCTACTTTACAACATATTTAAAGCTCGTCAAAATCGGAGGGGGACACTTGGGTCTGTTTCCTTGTGAGTATAGGTCATATCAAGGTCACCTTAAATTTTTTAAATTGGAATCTTTATTTGAACGAATGAATGAATGAATAAATGTTTATTGTTACTCTCAGGGTTACAAGATCACAATATCACGCCATACATCTTTATCCTTACATCTAAAAATTTATTCCAGACTTATCTATCTTAACCCTATCCGCCTCTAAAGCAGGAGCGTGAGCTACAAGTGCTTACCCTCCTCTTCACCTACACATACACAACACACACACGCGCGCGCACAGGTCACCGCTATTGGGATTTCCGTTTCAATTGTTCTCCATTACATCTTGTTTATCTTATTAATTCGTCCCTTCCATCTCTCTCTCTCTCTCTCTCTACTCTCTACTC